TAAAAATTAAAATATTAATTATCTATATTCACAAAATGAATAATCACTAATTTATTTTCACTAACGACGATCTAGCTTCATTGGCTACGATCAGCTTTTATCAGTTTCTCGTACGTTTTAATTTTAGGTTTTATTGGTCTTGTCGTTAAATCGTCAATACGATCCCTGAAAATATCGTGAATGATTCTGACTCGCTCGTAGAATCTCAAAGGCACTTCTATAACCAGCGACAATTCTCAATCGTCGACTTGAGAACATTTTCGTCAAGTGGTTAAAGTATACTCGCTTGAATAAAGTGATCACGTCAACAAAAATCATTCTAAAAAAACCGCACTACAGAAAAATGAAGCAATCCTATTAACACACAATAAAATTGGGAACGAATTCCATTAGTTTAAATTCGATATCACTCGCCTTTCTGAATTTCAATGCATACGATAGTTGTACAATTTTTTTCCATTATTCAAACAATTTATTTGAAAACAATATATTGTTATGTTTTTTTAAAATTGCAAAGATATATAACAAGTTTAAAATTTAAAAATATGTGTATGTGTGCGTATTTAATTTTTAATGTCTATATAATTACATCTTTCTAATTTTATCTTATTAAAATCTATCATTAAAAAAAAAATAATTTTACGAACTTTAAAATTTTGTGATTGTTGAATTTTGTGTTTGATGTGTTCATATTTTTTGAATTTTTAATGCTGTAGCTAGCGGTTGTATTTTTTCTTAGATTCTAGATTTTTTCAATTCTTTGACGTTTGGATTTTCAGTCTTCAAATCTTCAGTAAACTTAGAAAAGCGAGGTGGCTCACATATACATATTGCATAAATGTGATGTTTAAACGTAGTACGCAAATTTGGTATAAAAACATTCTGCAATAAAAATACAACTCTTTTTTCGAACTTTTAATATCTTTAAATAGATTTCTTGAAGTTTGTTACATAAAAGTTCGAATAATATCGGGTGGATATTTGAAATCAAATCGAAAGCCGTGCGAGAAAGAAAAAAATCAGATCGAGAGTTCGCTTCGTCGCTTCCCACATGCTCGAGGAAGAGGAAGCGCGGCCGTCGTAGGAACTCGCGTTAAGAAGAAGCGAAAAAGCGGCGGAAGGCCGAAGTAACATCAAAGGGAAGCGACAACGGATATGCGTAAACTGTAGGCAACGCGCGAATACCGAAAAACCGACAGAGTGCCGGAGGAGACTAACCGAGGCCCTGCGTTCTCGGGAAAGCTCATCAAAGAACCGCGGACGGATAAATGTAACCGGGCCGTTTAGCGCGAATCCCTCGCTAATTTTAATTACCAGCTGATTTACGTCTCGATATGTTCTTTCCTCGCTCGCGCGCAACGCGTTTTCTTCTTCTTTCCTCTCGTGATGTTCCGGTTTAACACTTCTTCTCCTTCTTCTTCTTCTTTTCTTCGTTTTCTTCGCAGCACGTGGGCGGAAGATGCGTTAGGAATTCGTCTCTTCTTTCTCCCTTCCTCCCTTTCTCGCTCTTTCTCTCGGTGTTAACACGTTTGTGATTATCCACGAGGAGGGAATGATAAATTCACCGAAATTCACGAGCGGATACGGATTAGCGTGATTTGTCGTCGGTGGATAGCGAGGGTTTGTCATCTTGATGTCTTACTACTTATCGTCATTTATATACGGAGAGAATTTTCTCTTAGGATTTACCTTGAAAATCATGCTCAATATGATATTGGAAGAATTTTATGAGTTTCTCTAATTAATATATTTGCCACAATAAAAAATATTAATGTGTACATAGTAAAATGATTAATCGAACATATTTTATTGTGATAGATTTTAATATTTTTATTGTAAATATTAATCAAAGAAACTTATGTAAAATTCTTCCATATTTAGTCTCACGATTATCATGATTTTCAGGGCAAATTCTAAGAGAAAATTCTCTTTGTGTACATGGCGAATCATTTGAAAGAATATACAATTAGACATATGTTTTTTAATTTCTTCATGGAAAAATGTGGATATAGATAGGTGTGTTAAATCGTGAGAGAAAACATAAAAGACACATATATACATAAGACAAAATTACTCGACGGAAAGAGAGGAGGAACGATGGTTGGTGTCTACCGTACCATTATCATCTCATGATGAGATGCGAATCTGCGGAAGATTCTCGCTTCGCGATCGATCGATGCGCGAGCGTGTCTCGCTTCCGTATTCGGGAAGTGGAAGAGATATACGTTTCGTGCTCTTTTTTCCCACAACTGCTCAAGAGAGTATATCCCATCTATCCACCTACCTACCTACCTACCAACCTACCTACCTATCTGTCCATCCACCTACCTACCCAGCAACCTACCTACCTATACGCAGATACGAAGACGTCGCGAAACTTACCTACGTAAGCGTTGGACGCAATATTCAGTTTGGTTTGATGCCACAGTCCGTCACCCCGTGGAGCTGTTTTCACACAAAACAAAGAAACCCATCTCGTCGTCGTCGTCGTCATCCTTCTCGTCGTCGTCGATATTTTCTCCTTTCCCGCTCGCTCGCGCGCAGGCGATCCCACCCTTTTCCTTTCCACCTTCCTTCGATCGCAGCTTCGGCTAAGCTCTGCGAGGAAGTACGGAGGGTGAGTGAGGGAGGGTGCTGGCCGGGAGATGGTGAGAAAGGCCGTTTTCAAGATGGCCACTACCTCGTAATCGGCACTCCCGCAAGTGCATTAATCTAATAAGCTTAAACTCTGACAAAGTTCTACTTTGCTCTTTAATAGAAAATATATATGTGCTATATTTCTGTGGAATTTTCTACACGCGGGCTGGTACGCAATGCGATAATACTATCCGCAGCAGCTTCACAGTTAATTATTTCAGAAAGAGATAAGATAACAGCGCTGATAACATATATAACAACTTTTTCAGCATCAATCTTTTCGTTTAGCAATCGATATAACGTTCGCATAAATCGGGAAGAAGCTATAGGGTTGAGCTATTCCCACCAGCGAATGCGAAATCTAACCGGAGTTCATGCGAAGTTATATCGATTACTGGAAGAAAAAAAGAGATGCTTTTCTGACGCCGACGCAACGCATCGCTGGCAGACAGCGTGGCACCGAAAGTCTCTGTTTCTCCTTGTTTTTTTCTTCTTCGGGCGTGGCAATAAGGAAGTGGACCCACTGCTTAAGAAAACATAAAGCCGCCAATATCGGGTAGGCCCTACCGAGTGCCTGAGAAAACACGAAACATTTTTGGAATCCTGCGAAGGATTCACGATGTTGCGGTCGTTGCCCGAATTATTTGATCGCGAAGGAGAATCGAAGAATCGAAATTATTCTCCGAATATTTAATTATGTAGGAAAATTCGTGATTTTCGTTTAATGGAAACGTGTGTCTTTTATTGCAATAGAATTATTTTCATCTTAATTATAATTATTCATCGATTTTCATATTACACTATAATATTATTTTGTCTACTTTTAAAAAATTCAAATATATAAGAAAAAATTTTAAGCGACTAGCTTTCTGTGTCTAACAAATAAAAGATATGCTTCTTCGTGCCAGACAGCGTGGCACCGGTGGTCAGAAAAATTATACCATGTCGACGATGGGCGGTGACCGACTAATTAACGATTTGACGAAAGCTGGCAATAATTAACACGAGCCTCGCTTCCTCTCGGAAACTTTCAAAAGAGGGGTACGCGCGATAGCTTTCGAGAGGATATCCTGCGTTTACAAACGAAAGAGCACGCGCTTGTGACATTAACATATCAAGGGAGTACTTGCTATATTTCTAATTTTAAAATATATATTTCAGTAATTTCGAATATTAAACGCGTTGTTTAGCAGATTTATATCTGATTTTTTTACGCGATTTTTATTAATTTGTAAAATAAATTCATACACGGACAGAATTTTCTCTAATTTACCCTGAAAAGCATGATAATCGTGGGGTGAGATTGAAAGAATTTTATGTTTCTCTGATGAATATTTGTCACAATAAAAAATATTAAATAGTAATAGTAAAATAAATCGAACATATATTTTATATATCTTATTCTGGTAGATATTAAAAAATTTTTATTTTAGGAGAAAATTGTCTCCGTGTAAATATAAATTATCATATTGGATAAAATGGGTTTTATATACGATCGAAGGTCGACTGCATATCAAATAAGTTATCGCGCGCTATCGATCTTACGCTCATAATATGCGGTACCCGTTATTCCTCGCACTCGTTAATCAGCGACGACCTGTCTCGAATTAACAACTCGTCGTCGCGCCAATGACGCGCGACGGAAGAGTTTCGTCCGCCGACTCGAATATTGTGTATCTTTCGAAGAAAGGCCATAATGGGCCTTAATGGAGCTGACTGTCAGCGTGGGGTTCCTTTTCGTAGCGGTGGCAGTGGTAACTGGACAATGGCCGCTCCGGTAGCCATGCCGTGTGCGTCTTACCTGTGTCTGTGTGCATTTGTGTGTGTTTAGGTATGTGTGTGTGTGTGTATACGTATGCATGGACGTTACTCGACAGAATTCCATATGTTTTCTCACATATGGCAGTCTGATATCGGAAGACGAATTAAAGAATATTAATCCTTCGTATGTTAAATTAATATATTTATACATGAAATTGATAATAATTATGCATATCTTGAAATCTTGAATCTTGATGATATATAGGCGTAGCTATTGTTTCAAGAAATTATATCAGCTTTTTTTCTTTTTTTATTGAAGTAATAGATATATCACGTTCACACACGAGTGAAATGCAATAACTTTTGTACATCGATTTTACACGATGCAGTTATATGACGATAACCTCGTTAACAGAAAGCTTCGAGTATTTGCGCCTTTCAAGTAACGCCTACACAATTATTATGCTTGAAGCAGTTCGAAGCCATGATCGCGAGAGCATTATGGCTGCCAATCTTTATTTGAAACCTTTATATGGAATAGAACTCTCTCTCCGCGCGGGAAAAATATTTTATTATTTAATTTATTAAAAGAAATACAGAAGTCGAATTAATTTGTGTTATAATGCAAATCCAAAACATTCAATTGTTACTTTTCCATTACAATGAGTACGGCTACTTCAACTCATATCTCAAACAAAATTTTTATCTTGATTGATAATGCATCATTGATTGATGCTTGATTGATTGATTAGACATCCATTAATATTATTTCTCTAAAATAATCTTATAGAAAAACAAAAATAAACTATAATTCAGAATTCAAAGACTTGAAGAATTTTTTTTGAATCTGAGATTCTTCTTTCTCGACTAAATTGTATGAATCAAAATGTGACTATAGTACCATGGTATTTAAATTGCCAAGAAATTTCTGACAGTCTTTAAAAATGATTCACTATTTACTCACGTTCAGAGGAATAGGAAAAGACAACTTTTTTATCTTTCTGAGGAAATTATTTAGGGTTTTCTCTTTGATCCTCTTGATCTTTTCATTTTATTTGAAAAAAAGTTTCTCTTACTAACGATCATTAGAATCATCTATAGTGCGATGATTGTCTGTATCTGGCGCTGACCTGTTTTCTGTAATTTTCAATATTGGGGACGTCTTCATGAATTTCTTTGACATTCGAAATTGCAAACGACCAGTCCCTGGCATAGTTCTCATTCTTTTCTTCTATTCGCGTCCGCCCATCGTGCCGCCTTTTCGAAGTCAAGCCATTATTTGAGTTTGATGTTTTGACACGATAGCACCTTCAAGGGTTAATCCTTTAAACGGTCGTACCACGGGTGGTCGCCATGAGTCACCTTGTTCCGCAAGCTTCCCTTGTAGCATCTCTCTTTAATCCAGATAGGCAACCCAGGGTGCTTAGTGCCATCGGCGCAACCGGAAACTGCCCGGATTAGTATATGCGAAAGATTGGGATTTAGTTGTGCCGACGTCGATTAGCAATAACCCCGATGACGCAGCTCAGTTCTCTCTATAATCTGTGATCTGAAAAAAAAAAGAAATAATCAGAGTTGAAATTAATTATCACATTGTCAGAGTTCTAAACTCGTATGGAAATGCATATCATTTATATCTTTCTTTCTTTCCTTTTTCTAAAATATTATTTTGTACAAATATTTTTAACGAACCTGAAGAAGAACAATTACTTTTTAATACCATTTTTAAAATGGATATAGTGAAATATTGTAAATGTAGAGTATATGTAACAATGAGATCTATTTTAGAAAAAGGAAGAAAAACAATTTTTTTCTATATAAAATAGAAACATTTGCTACGCAAGCATTTATCTATTTTCAATAGAATATATAATTGAAATTTTTATAATCTTGAAAAATACAGCTGAATTAAAAAAACAATCGGGTGCATTATCCCCTGTGAAATAATGTTCTCTTAAGTTCTCTTAATATCCTTTTTTTGTCTGAATTTAAGGCGCACACAATGCTATCTTTATATAACAAAATGTTCTTGTGAGCATATAACCTGATATCTGAATACAGAACCGTCTGTCAAGTCGAGAATCGTGGAAAGCTGCGGGGTATCGAGTTAGAATCGTAAAAGATGTTTTCTAATCTTGAAATCTTTTGAGAAATGTGTGTGCGTATATAGGACCTGCTTCGTTATCTTATGTATATGTATTATAAATAAATACACATACAGACACACACACACACATATATTGCACATCTCAACTCGTCAGTTTGTGCATACCTATATATTCAAACATTTACATTATTTATCTAATAATAACTTGAATATAGATTATAAAATTTAATATCTCCTATTTGAATAACTTTGAAGAATTGCACAGTAACTTAATTAATAATTAAAAATTTTTTAAAATTAAAATTACAAAAAATTATAAAGAATTAAATACACTGTTTAAAATATTTATATTTTATTATTATGTTTATTTATATTAATGTGTTCTTCAAATGTATCATTCAATTACATACAATTTGGAAAAATATTTACTAATTGCTTTTATTGCAATAATTTAAAAAATTTTATAAAGTAACTCATTAATGATTTTAAAACATTTTGAAAAATGAATGTATCAGTTGTGAACATGATATACTTACCACTATCTTGTCATCCGAGAAAACTTACCACTTTCTTGTCATCCAAGAAAATGTGATCGCAGTTTGAAAATACCGCGACATTGATATTATTTATTTATTGTGACATTTGTTATATATATAGTTTTTGTTTCGATCATTACTACTTAACAAAGAGAAGTCGGTGAATCTGCTCGAACGAAGAGATGATTTATATCGGTATCTTTAAAGAGAAAGGAAAAGAGAACCCCTGTAGAGAGTCCGAGGATCATAGTGGGCACGACCTTTGTCTTTTCCTCACGGCATCCGTTTCCGGCCCTTATCTTACGTTACACATGTAACCTCCCTCGTTCTTCACCCGACCTATTGTTGGCCACATGTGTCTCGTCTCGAGAAGTTTGCTTATGTTGGCCCATCTAACACAGCAAAGCTATGCGTCCAGATCCGAGTGTAAACTCAAGCGTCGAATCCGCGACATCACCGTAGATGATTCTATCTAATTGTTGACGACGAATGATTCGAGTGGTCTCTAAGTGCGGTCAATTTCGAAGAGAGAAAGGGCTTTCTGACTTGCATTTGGCAAATTATAAGACTATTTTGTCAGTGTGCGCGAATATTAATTAATTTAATACTTGAAGAAATACTTGAAGAAATTTTAAAAGAGCCTGTCTATTTTTTAATGAAAATATAATACGAAGAATCTTTTTTTTTCAGAAAATAAGAAATATATTGGAATTATAAATATATTGGAAATATATTGGAGGCAAATATTATAAGACTATTTTGTCAGTGTGCGCGAATATTAATTAATTTAATACACTTGAAGAAATTTTAAAAGAGCCTGTCTATTTTTTAATGAAAATATAATACGAAGAATCTTTTTTTCAGAAAATAAGAAATATATTGGAATTTTTCAACTTTGCAATTTTAAATTTGTCGTTTTAAGTTTATTATTTCAAATATACAAAAGAGCACATGTGATTAAGTCTGTCAGCAATTTCATAGGTTGACATATCTGCAGTTATCCAGGATTATTTCTTGATTCTCGTTTTGCGCGTGTAAGGGAATTTATACGAGTTTCCGCTTTGCTACGAACGTAAGCAAGGACGAGCACCATCCGCTCCGTTGATTCGGAATCGACGGGATCGCATCGAATCTCGTAGAAATCTCGTTTTCTCATCGACGACAAGACGATCGTATAATGTCTCACAGATATCGCATGCTTTCTCCTAACTCTATATAGATACTCTATACTCGTTTAATTAAAATATTAATTATTAACAGATTAAAATAAAGTCCACAAAAAAGATGCGCCCTTCTAATTTTTTTTTTTTTTTAATTTAAATGAATATTAATTATAATTATTTAATTATATTCAAAAATAATTTGTATGCTAAATTTTATGGTTTTAACATTAGTTTGTAGTTACGACAAACTATTGAATATACATATGTATCGAGATTTTTTTCTAAAGTATGCACATCTTGATAAGCATGCGATAACAGAATTCTTCATTCCGAAAAGATAGTGAAAAGATGAGGAAAAGAGAAAGAGCGCGACACCACCCCGTGTTGACTTTGGCTCGCAGCCTCCAATTTCGACGGCGACGGCACGGATGGAAATATCGGCCGCTAAAATAAATCGACGACAAAGACCGGCGATCCAACGACACGCTTGCTTGTCGGAATGCTCCGAATCGACGAGTCCTTTTCCCTACCGAAGATAACAATAATCTCGTCCGACGACAGACTGTGTCCCGTATGTGTTAAAAGTGGCTCGTCTGAAATTAATATTTCTGTGTTAATCTCGGATTTTCACACTTAATCGTAAAATTTGATCCTCGTTTTTATTAATTTGAATTTGAAAAATATCTATGTGGAAAATTTTACGTTGCAATAAATTAAAAAAAAAATTTGTGTTATTGTTTTAGAATAAAAAAAATACAATTTCAAAAATTATACGTATATAAAATAATAATCGCAAATATTTGTGTTCTTAAGCTCTCGTTTCGAATAACAACACAATGCTAAAAGAAAAAAGAATGGAGAATTTCCTCTATCATAATTATTATACAACGCGCTAAATTCCTTCCGACTTTCTTTTACAAATGAATATTTTTTTCCTTGACATTCTTCAACGAATAAGAGGAACTTGTCGGTTTTTTGTCAATCTGTCAACGAGGACAATTTTGCGCATAATTAGGAGTCTTTGACCCTTATTGGTCCCAAAATGCGAACTATTTGCTACCTGCTATTCATTATATTTCGGATGTAACACACATGTATCTCATCTGTCATGACCATGACAGTCGTGGCAGTCTCGCAAAGGACGACAAATAGAAAAAAATATCACACAATTTTCCGCTAGAAACGACAAATTCGTCACGCTCTGGTGTACATATTTTCCTTTTTTTTTTTTAAATCAATAAATATTTTTTACACTAATAAATCCGCTCGCGGACGCGCACAATGCTCCTCTCGTAAGCCAGCCGCATTGAATCTGCGACGTAAACGTCACGTACAATATATCCGGATAGTGACTGTGATAGCGACGAGAGAGAAAGATAGAGAGAGAGAGAGAGAGAGAGATAGAGGAGAGAGATGTGTCGTACAGCAGCCGGAGAGACCGCGGAAAAAGGACTTCGAGGGACTCGCGAGAAGACGTGGGAAAGCTGGCCGGACGAGGGACGAGCGAGATGCTCGTGACCATTCACCTGTCAACTGTCTTCCTCCACGCCGCGTCCCGTCACCGACGGCGATGTTGCTCCGTTGCTGCCTCTTTTTCTTTTTCTTCTTTTTTTTCTCCCTCGTGCTTCTCTCTTCTTCCTCCACGGTGGCACATCGACGATGCCATCAGTTGGCTCACGTAGTCGCGCCCAGCCTACCAAAACATCCTCGACGATCCTCCATTTGACTCGCCATTCAGCGCCGGTGAAACAGCTTAATATAATCCTATTTAAGGAGAGATGGCCATTGTAACTCGTGATGGAACCGATGGAACGTGACCAAAATTATTTACTCGTTTATTAGAAATCTGCGGCGATTCGATTCGATTCGGTACGCCGGATTAGAAGAATTCGCATTTCGTTGCACGCGACGACACGAGCTCGGCGATCGCTTAATCTCAGGATTAGGGATGCGATGAGTAGCATATTCTTTCATTTTTCACACATTATTTAAAATATTTCTCTTTAAATTATTTTATAAATTTGATATATTTTCAATGCAAATTTTTTTAGAATATAAAAGTACATAAGAGTATATACATTTGCCCTCTTTCAATCTTATAACAAAAATTTGCTTAAATATACTTTATAAATATCATATTTATATTATATTATTATTATACTTCATTCTGTTACATTTTATGTAAATTTAAAGAATCGGGTTGCTTATATGTAAATTTTGAAAATTACGTTCTGTAACAGCTGAGAGCGAAAATACATGATGACAACTTCGAACAAACAATTCAGCAGCGCGCTCGTAAAATGTCTTTAGTGGAATGCCGCGTACGTGTCCGGTCTTTGAGAGAGAGAGCCTCGAGTACGAGAGGTTGCGAGGGCGAAGGTGAAGAAAATCCTGTCAACGGCGACGGGGTCTTCCGGAAGAAGAACGGCTTTTTTACGTGACACCAGACGCTCGCATTCGCGCCCAATCAGACTTGTCAGCGACTTGACCGATGGATTTCAAGAATCCGACGACGATTCATCGACGTGTCCGGATCATGCTCCTGCATACGCGATCGCGTGATCGATCGAAAATCTTCGTGACGATATACTCCTTCGCGATCGAAGACGACTAAAGTCGTCTCTTGTGCTCTGGCTTAACCCTTTTGTAGTCCGTACTAAAGCGTAGTCACGTCGGTGATACATTGAACGTAAAATTACCATATTCACTCTTCCATTGTGTGCCGAATTTGATTTGTTAAAGA